ACCTGGGGCAGAATATTGACATTTATACACACATTCATATACATACACATTTATATTCACACGCAGAGGCGGCTCTCTAATTATGTGATTTAGGCGGCCGGGCGCCTCAGGTCTGCAGCTCCGCAGTGTGCAGAGCTGCAGACCACGTGTCTCCCGATCTCTGACCAATCAGAGTGTTGCTGCGGTTACCATGGCAGGGAGCTCGCAAGACACATGGTCTGCCGCTTTGCACACTGCGCAGCTGCAGACCAAATATCACCACAGGACATTTGACCACCATTGAGCGCACACTGGACCACCATGGAGCCCACATTGTACACTGGACTGCCAGGGAGCCCACACTGGACAATGGACCATCAAGAAGCGCACACTGGGCCACCAGGGAATTAATTCCTTAAGAAGAGGTACTCACACTCCCTCCAACTATACTGTCACCCCTTCACAATGTACTACCACCCCCACCCCACAGACAGTCACCACCTTACACTATACAGTAACCCTCTGACTGTTACTGTATCCCCTGTACTGTTAACCCCTCACACTGTTCTATCACTTCCCTACTGAACTGTCATCCCCTCACACTGTACGATCATCCCCTTACACTGTACTATCACCCCCTGCACTGCTGTCAACTGTGTGTGTGGGTGGGGCTGTATGGCTGGCTGTGTGTGAGACTGCCTGTAACTGTGTGTGTGTGAGACTGCCTGCAGGGCTGGCGCATCCAGAAGGCAGCACAGGCGACCGCCTTAGGGCGCACTGGCTCTGGGGGGCACAAGATTTCAGTGAACGGCAGGAGGGAAACTTTCCCTCCTGCCAGGCCACCTTCTGGACCCCCAGGGTGGTGTTTGGCAGTGGTAAGATAAGAGGCGGCGAGGGAGCTCTAATCTCCCCGCTCTGCTCATGCTGTGGGAGCCAGAATATGACATCATATTCCGGCTCCCAGCATCAGTAGGCAACCTGCAAGAGAGCAGAGCGGAGAGATTAGAGCTCCCTCACTGCCTCTGATCTTGATCTCCCTCACCACTGCCGCACGCCGCCCAGCAGCCCCAGGGACAGATCCATCAGCTACACCAGCTAGTATTTTTAAAATAATAATTAGTGAATGTATGTGATGTGTGTCTGTGAGTGACAGTGTGTGTGTGTCTGTGAGTGACAGTGTGTGTGTGTCTGTGAGTGACAGTGTGAGTGTCTGTAATTGAGTGTGTGTGTGTGTGTGTGCTTGTGTGTGTATGAGTGTGTCTGTCAGTGTATGATGAGTGTGTTTGTCAGTGTGTTTGTGAGTGTCTGTCAAATCAGTGAGAGTATGTTTGTCATTGAGTCTATGTGTGACTATCAGTGTGTCTGTCAATGAGTGTCTGTCAGTGTGTGTGTGTGTCAATGAATGAGTCTGTGTCTGTCAGTGACGTCTGTCTGTTTGTCATTGAGTGTGTGACTGTCAGTGTGTATACACCACTGAGTGTAGCGTGGCGGAGCGGAGCACGGTACAGGAGCTTTTGTTTCCTGCACCCTGCCAGACTGACAAGAGTTGCTCACTGAGAGAGCACTCCCTGTCAGTCCGGCCGGGTACAGAAAACTGAAGCTCCTGTAGGGGATCTGCTCTGCTGCAAGACAGATAGGAGGCACACCACGAAGGGGAGTGTGACCACTAAAGGGATGGGGGGTGCACCAAGGGACAGGGAGGGAATGGGAGAGAAACACCAAGGGACAGGGAAAATAAGGGGGAGGGGAGAACACTAAGGAACAGGGAAGGGAGGGGACCACTAATGGACGGGGAGGGGAGGGGGGAGGGGCTGGTTAAGATGGTTTTTTTGGAGGGGGAATGCATCTTCGCCTATGTACCCAAAAATCCTTGCACTGGCCCTGACTCCCACTGGTCCTGACTGCCTGTAAGTGTGTGTTTGTGTATCTGTCTGTCACTGCAAAAATACACACTAGCATTCACACATGGGCCTGCATGCATATTTAAAAATCTAAATTAAATACCCATATACAAAACACTACATCTTTATATATCTGATACACAGATGAGCGGGTGTTTCCGGGGGGGCTCACTATTTTACACTCACACCCCAACCCTGTCATACTCACAGGCTATGCAACCATACCTCACAATTGTGTATAAACAATTAGTATAATTGCTAATTAAGTTTGTTTATTGCAAATAAATTTTGTTAACAAATTATGCTACAACTACAGCCAGGGTGCTCACAATGCAGCAGCGCAGTGAGTAGTGACCCTGCAAGCTTCTGAACAATGAATGCAGAGACAAACTCTCTGGCTACAGTACTGCAAGCCAGCTTTTCAATATAGCGACTACTCTTTATACACACACAAAATGCAACCCCTATTTTTTTTCACTAATGGTGTTAGGGTGGGCTTCATGTTAGAGGTTCGCTTAAGGCCTCACAAAGTCTAGAGCCGCCTCTGCTCACACGTGTGGTGGGACCACTTGCTGTCTGTGAATTGCCCTCTTCTATATTCCTAGATTTCCCATTATAAAATGTGTGTTTCCCTATGTAGTTTGATTTTAACAGTGTAATATGCCTTGTGACTGCGCGGGGGCGCTCCGGCACATGGAGCCCATTCGCCTCCCTAATGAGGACCCCCCCGAATGTTTCCACCAATTAATCCGAACGTTGCTCTTGCAACATATGTGTGAAACCGCAAGGGAAGTAATTACTGTTCCCCTACATGGGGTCTGCGAGGCAAGGCTCGTAGCTGCCCAATGAGCACTCCTCCGGGGTCTGCCTCAGTGGAGGCTGCCGCCGGGGAGAGGTGTGAGTATGCTTCACGGCTCCAGAGTCCACCGCTGGCTGCCTGGAAGTCCATGCAGACCAATGGGAGAAGGCGCTCCCTTTCAAACCAGGTTTGTGCCAATCTCCTGATTGGTCGACACGAGGGAGCGCTGATTGGTCGCTGCGGGCACAGGTGACCAAATGGGATATCACGCCCTACCATCTGATTATGCGGCAAAACCCCTCTCCTCCCTGAGCAGAAACCAAACCAAGTGACGCTGTAGAACTGATTTCAGGGATGTACAGAGCCTCAAGCCCCACACTTTGTACGATGGTTCCATCAGAGAACGGAAACTTGTTTTTTTTCACCATATTTCTAAGTCCCTGGAGTGCTGTCTTTACAAAGAAATGTATATATACACATACACCTTTACTTCTTTACTTGGAATGTGAGGCACTAAAAAAACCTATCTGCAGCCTGAAGAAATTTAGCCTCTTTTAATCTTTGCCCCTAACTACTGCCAAGTTGTGCAGTTGTGGGATAGACTATCCAACTGTGATATTTCCTGGTGCGACGATTCATGCTGAGACTGCTGCTTAACCCCCCTGCTGTGGATGACAGGTGTTTTTTAGATTTTCAGAGAGCTAAAAGCCACCAGGAGATTATCTCCTGATGTATCCCAGTGGCTCAGCGTCAGAGAGTATGTATGTAGAGGTTCGCTTAAGGCCTCACAAAGTCTAGAGCCGCCTCTGCTCACACGTGTGGTGGGACCACTTGTTAATACAGACTGTATGTGTGTCAACATATTTGTATGGGTATTGTGTCAGTATGTATGGCAGTGTGTTTTAAGAGCATGAAGGAAAGCAGAGAGAGACACAGATGGTTTAAAAGACACAAAGGGGGAGTGTAAGAGACGTAGCTACCTAATAGACACATGATGAAAAGAGAAACAAAGTGGTAAGGAAACACAAAGGGGTTATGAGACACAAGAGGAGTAAAAAGGGGAGTAATACATGGCGTTAGAATGTTGCATTCTTTAATGATACATAATATAATAAAAACACAAAACATTTTCATTAAATATATTTATTTTGATAAAACTGGAACATTTGGAGAATGGCAGTGAACTTTTTATTATGAATTCTAATTTAAACATCGACATTCTTAATAATAATAATAAAACCATAACTTATAACCAAAACCGAAATAAACCATTAACCATTTCCAGGCTCTGCCCCATAAAGCCAGGAGCCATAAATATATATTAAAACCAAATAAACCAATCCACCCACCCTCCTGTGATGCCCAGTAGGGTTACTTATATTCCATAATAAGGTCACAAAAATGTATAACTAAAGGGAATGGTGGGTGGGGCTGCAGCTCAAATACTTACAAGTAGCCAACCAATTGTGTGGCACAAGTTGAGGTAAATAATGTTGGCACCATTAAATTTATACCCCTGCAATTCCCACCGCTAAATGGCTAGCGCTGCAATCCACCAATCAGGGCGTGAACCCTAAGCGCAAACTTCACGCTGAACAAACAGCCTGTACCTAACCCTCGGCTCGCTGCCTCTGCATAGCCTACCTAATACTTACAGTTGCAAAAGCTGTAGTAGGAATAACAAAATGACATACAAAAGGGTAGCAGTATCCATAAATTAGGCAAAATGATGGTTAAGAAGGCAAAAGGTATTCATTAATGCTTCTGTATGGAAGGTCTCACTTTCGCCTGAACTATTGTTCAGGTGGAGTGGATCAGGAAGCCCTCCTGGTTGTCAGCTTGACTACCCGCGAGTTTTCTAAATTAATATATGAGTACCGAATTCAGACAAGAGGGATTTGCCATTAGCACCTAAACGCATTCTAATAGTCTGATGTGTTCGGTGTTTTTTTTTTTTTATGGGTCTGTAGAATCCCTTTAGGACACAAATAAAAGGTAAAAAAAAACCCAACCTATTTATATTTTCTCATTATACGTTAATTAAAGTCAAACAATCTGAAGAATTTCATGGTTTGTTTGTTTCTATAATTGCATATGTTATACAATGTATCATTAATTAGCTCGATGTTTCTTCTGAGTTTTGAAATTACACTGTGTTACATCAACAGGTTACTAAAGTATACATTGTAACACAGCGAGCATTACCGTTCAGTTACTTGTATCCAGCAAAGAGTCAGGAAGCACATAGCGTTCCAAGCCTCGCTCTCATGCCATCTTCTGATTGGTTTAGTTAGGACCCTCTTTAGTATTTATTTGAAATTCAGAGAAGCGCCTCGTTTGCATGAGACCAGGCGTGTTTGTGCTCCTAAGCAAAGTAACGTAGTATTCATATTTTATGTGTCCTCATAGCTCAATATGTGATTTCTTTGTCTAGTTTCTCGCCCACTCCATCTATTAATAACTGCAAAGCTAATAGTTTACAGGTTGGCCTGTTTGCAAGGCACAGTCAATCTTGCAGGTATGAGCATTTTTGGGGGGATATAGCCTAGGTTTTAATTTTGTGAAGCATTAACCATGCATAGATTTAAATGAATACTTCACAAGAAAGGTAATGTGACTTTAAAATTCCTCAAGAATGTGTCTAGGTACTTTGTATCAACGAGAAAAAGAAAATAGAACATTCACAGGTATTTGCTTTCAAGAAAACATGAGATTTGTTTATGATATAAATCTAGACTGGAGTGGATTACATTATTTAATCGTTATGCCTTACTCCTAATCAAACAGTTATGCCCTATATCTAATTGTATTGGTTTATTTCAGAATTATTTACAAAGGTATATTTTGTGTTTTGTTTTTTTTGTGGTTTTTTTTTTTTTGTGATTTACGTTTAAATTACAAAATGGCGACTATAATGGTTAACTGGGGAGGGGTAGGAAATCTCCAACCTGCATTTTGCTTGTTTTTTCTTTTGCTAAACTTTTGAGTAGTGAATAACCCTGTGTGCTTTTCTGCAGTGGTATAGGAAATGATGACTATGTGGTTAAAGGATTACTGAAACAACAACAAAATTTTCATAAAACACTGATTTTTGTGGTTACAGTAATCATTGCTGTGCAGTGGAGTCTCTAGGATTCACTTTTAGGGGGGCGCATGGTGGCCCAGGGACAAAAGTAACAAATGTGTATTTTTTTTTTTTTTTAAATAATCCCTGGTGGACAATTCATTCTCTTCCACCAAGGATTATTAAAAAACAAGACACATTTCCCTTGATACAGTCCATCCACACACACACTGCGGAGTCCATCCACACCCACACACGCTGCTGAGTCCATCTACACACACAAGCATATCAAGCCTACCTGTTGCTGGGGGTCACAGCCATCTTCTTGCCTTTCCAGCAGCAGCATGTGCTGCTGCTTAACGGCAGGGCCGGGGTTTATGTGCGGGGCTTAATTTGGGGGCAGATCCTGTGCCGGAGAAGCTGCTGAAAACACCCAGCAGCGTTCTAGCACCTGTTGCATTCCCTTGGGCTGTCGCACAGTTACAGCCTAAGGGAATATAATTTAAACACATGGCCAGCAGATTGCGGGCATTTGGGGGAGCCCAAGGGAGGCACAGCATGATGTGGGGGGGGGGGGGCATGGCCCCCCTCTGACTCCCACCTTAGCGACGCCACTGTTGCTGTGCTGGTCTGTCTCTTATCAAATGACTAGGTACCTTGCTAGAAAGGAGTGCTAATTTGTAATATGGTTGCTCACTAAAACCTGAATTGCAAGGAATAAGTCTAAATTTTAGACTAAATATCCAAACTGAAAACATAAGTTACCTGAAGAATTTTGCCAGGCTGGCTAATTATGCCATAAAATCCCAAGGCTTAATGAATAGGTGACTGTGCACACATTGGTGAATAAACCTGTAAGAGTTTGGTTGCTAATTGAGTGTATGCACTAAACTGTGAATTGTGCTAAAAAGAACACTATAGGCAACTAGACCTCTTCATCTTATTGAAGTTGTCTGGGTGGTGCAGTGTCTGTGTCCCACTTACTCCTGCAATGTAAATCATTGCAAGTTTTGAGAAACTGCAATGATTACTTTTCTGGAGTAACATTTCCTCCAGTGGCTATCAGGCAAGTCCGGGGATTCTAAGGAACTCTGAATCTAAGGGTTCTCTTAAATAAAGCTGGATGTCCTCACGCTCTGCATTAGTGATTTCGCCATGGGGAAGCATTGAGTTAATACTTTTTTTTTTTTTTTCAGGGGAGGGCCTAATGCATTAGCTGCATATGTGCATTAGGTCCCCTTTTGTTTGTCATCGAAGGAGGTGTAGCACTGACCCAGCATCTAGTACCATGAATACAATGATTCTCTATTGCAGACTGTGATGTCACTGCGTATGCAGCTCATGTCCTGTTATTAGAGCTAGTCCTGACTTTCATAACCAGAGAAGGAGGGCTTTAAAACAGTGTCCGTAAGCCATGAATGCAAGCCTTCTAACTATTAGAAATAAGGATTTGGCGGAGGTGATAAAGTGTCAGTGTGAAGTAATCAAGAGTTCAGGTACTTAAGAGTCATGCTATAAAAGTAGAAAAAGACTAGAATTTGGGGAAATGTAGTTGAAAGTGGAGTTGGGAATTAAGTTAAAACAGAGGGTAAAACTAAGTGTTACTCATTACAGTAAGAATTTATTCTAGTAGTTTAAAATTTAAGGTCATAATAGCCAAAACAAAAAACAATCAAATCCTATTCTTCCACTTTGGTCATGCACTCTGTCTGGCCTTCACTTTGAATTTCTTTTTTTTCGTTTAGTAAATAACTCCGTAGGCTTTAACAAATTTATGTGCACACTGTGATCAAGGTTAAGCAAGCAGGGAAGGTGGTCCAGAGCAAACACCTGATGTATATTGATTATTTTTCTTTATCTGCCATAAATGAAATCACAATATTATGAGTAAATTAAATTGATAAATGTTAAAGAAAATCTTAAGTGCTGTATTGAAAGTGTGACTGCAAGCAGAGTATGTATTACATCTAAAATAACACATTTTATGTAATTGTGTTTTTCAACTTAAATAAATATTGATGCCGATGTGTAAAATTTTTACTGTAATAAAATTCTTTATTAAATTCGGTCTTTCTTTTTCCTAGAAACTAATACTTTTAATCTTAGTGTTGTTAAAGGGACTGTTTAAAATAAGCTTATTTTATTGGTTATAAAATGAAACTATTGCAGTCATGGCTTTCACATCTGTAAAGAAATGATGGGTAACGGTAATTCTTAAAGTGCCTCAGTTAATTCCTGACGGCAGCAATTATTTTGTGGTGCTCAAATTTGGATTGGAAGCAGTGCATTAAAATAAATTTGCATTGGGATAAGGACAAATTTAGTATCTTCACTTGGACTCTCAGCTTGAACACTTCACATCTACATGCACACCCTCTGTTTGCATTTAATCCTGTGCCTCTCTGATGACTTTGTCTATTGATGCAGATTTAAAGGATTCATTACTGGTGACATCAGGCTATTCTTCACATTTAGCCAACACATGCTGAGGATGAAGTTAATGGAATTTTGTTTGGAATTGGGTATCTGCTGTAGGTAAGTACTCTCTGGATTATTATTAGTCACTTATAAAGTGCCAATAAATTCCATGCAGTGCAATTGGTGGTAAATTGTGAGCCGAGAGGTATATTAACAAACATGAGTGTGTGTCCCTAAAATGTCGCACTCTAACAATAGATGTATAGATTATATACAGGGTCAGTGCTACACTATTTTGTGCCCCAGGCAAGACCAGCTACTGGTACCCAACCATAAAACAAAAATGGCCAACTTTGTGTGTATAATGTTTTTCTTCCCTAGCCCATTTGTGTCTTTCTCATCCAGTCCTTTTTATGTCTCACCCCCAGCCTCTTTGTAGGTCTATTTTTTTTTTCCCTTCTCAATACCCTCTGAGTGTCTCTGATGTGTCCCCTTTCACAGCCTCTGTATGTCATTGTCCCCAAACCCTCTGTATGTTTCTTTGCCATCTCCTCAGTCCTCTGTTTCCTTGTCTCCCCAACCACCTCTGTCTGTCTTCTCTTCCCATTTGTGTCCCTGTTTCCCAGCCCCCCTGTTTGTCTAATCCCCTTAGCAGCTCTGTCTGCCTCTCCCTCCCCCACTCTTTGATCTCTGTATATTTGTCCATGGCTACCCTTCCTTGTGCCTCTGTCCCCCACCAGCCCTCTGTGTGCCTCCTTGTATGCCATCGCCAGCCCCCTCCCACCCCACATCTCCCTTTGTCCTCTTCTCCACGTCTCCCCTTCTCCTCTGCTATGCCAGATGACCACTCCATGTTGCGTGGCCTAGTGCATCAAGGTAGAAGATATTCTTTCAGCAAGCACTTCCTGTTACCCAGGGAAGCTAACACAAAAGATCCTCTACTCTTGGTTAGTCTGACAAGCTATGCTACAGGCAGTGACCTGCAGGTGAGAGCCCTGTGCAGGGAGCTTTCCCTGCTGCTGATCACCTAAAAATTGCACCCCTCCTGTAGGCCTGTCTTCCTTAGTTGCTGCAAAAATCACCTAGCTTTATCTCTAGCTTTGTCCCTGTACGCGATAACAAGTACTAGAATCCAGGTAAATGCAGCTACTTCCCAACCTTTACAAATCTTAAAAAGGACCAAACAAGGTGGACCTCTGGCCTTTACTGTTTACCTCACTCTAGCCATTTCTGGAAGTTATGTGATGAGGGTATAATATGTTTTCTGAGATCACAAAATCCTGGCAGCAGAATCATGGTTATGCAAAGATATTTTTTTTCTAATTGAGTTCAGTAGGGGTACTTGAGCTTCTTTCTCTGGACAGGTAGTGGGAGGGTACTTCAAGTAGTCTTGGTCATTTAGGGTAAATCCAAATTTAACCGTTTCTGCAGTAGTACTCTCCACTCCAGGGGAAATATAACATACAGAGTGATTTTTAACATAATTTGAAAAACAATGGAAAAAAAACTGAGTGCTGCTGATGTGGGTTGTTAGTAACAACTACGAGCCTGCACATCTGGTGGTAATGCTTGCTGGAAAGAGGTACCCACGGCTTTCACAAGGTTCACGGACACATCCCCTTCCTATATTACACCATATCACAATGCATTTCAATATGGGTTTGTAAGAAATCTCTTAAGCATTTGTTTACATCAGCAGAAAAGCCTTTATTCATATTCTGTGAATGAAGCAATGTACACTCACTCTCCAGGAGTGGATGGATAGAGTAGATCTCTCTCCTTGCTCATCCAGGATTGAAGAGACCACTTCCTCTCCCCACCCACCCCTTATTTTTTTTTCTTTCTTTGTGCATGAAGTGGTAAAAAACATTTTGAATTTATTTTATTAATGATAAAGCTAAATTGAAAACTCATTCCTGCTTGTATTGTCTGATGACTACTGCAAAAGTCATTTTCATATGCAATCTCATTGCTAAAATAAAGATTTTACAAAAAAGGATGTTTTTAGAAAATGTAATCCATACGCTGAAGTCATTCTCTGACTGGAGAAGAGGAAGAGGCCAGTGCCCAGCAGGTATTGGTAAGTTGTTAAATGGCAGTCTCATTTATAAAGATGTCTACAGTTTCCTCTTACTGAATTTTATTGTATAGTTAAGAGAACATGACGTGGCTAATATGTTTATATTGTCAACGTCAAAAAGTGGGATGTTTAAAGAAACAAACAAAAATCATGAAATGCTATTTGTTAACTGATATATTTCAATATATTCTTTGTCTTAACAATGTTGTATTGCATATATTTCTAAAAAATAATAAAAAATTTCAATAAATAGTTGAAAAGAAATACATTGGATATATCTAGCACTATAAGAATCCCCAAAATGTCTCACTCTAAAAATAGATATATTTTGGGTCCTATGAAATTGCTATTTGGCTTTTATTTCTCTTTTTCACCTCCAAACAGGTTAAACCTTGTGATATCTTTCAATATGAATGCTTCGAAAATATCGTTCAAATGGCCCAGGGAATATTGCACAATGTACCAAAAATACGTGCTTTACCAAAATTGTGTATGTGGAAAGAAAGTCATATTAACTTCGCATGAAGCTTAAATTAACACTTTAGAGACAAGTGGTTTTTGGCTGCTCATGTGCTTTATGTCACTGGAGTTTGCATTTTTTGCAATAATTTGTAATGGTAAAATAAACTACTTACTGTTATTTGGACTGGGCTAGTGCACATCTTACTCACTCATGGACAAGCATAACAGTTTGTGTACCATTGCAGCACCAGCACAGAGGCTTCTTAACACCTTAAGGACTGAGGCAATTTTAAAAGTTCAGATCTAAACCAAATGACGTAAACAAAACCTTGAATCTGCACTACATATCTATTCAACCTTTTTCATATTTAATGCATCCACACATATATTGTTTTGTTCAGGAGAAACAGCACTTTTATATCACATTATATATATATATATATATCTATCTCCTAATTTAATATGAGTTCTGCATTGCATTTCAACTGTGAATGTCATATTGTTAGCAGTTACTGCAATAAAGTACACATTGTATTCAGCAATGTCTTACAAGTAAAACAGTATCCACATGTACAGGTTTTATGGTGGTTCAAATATAGTATGTTACATTTTTCAGATTATACACATTGAAATTTGCAAGACTGATTATCTTGCCTTTAAGACCATATGGTAGCCCAGGAACAAAAATTATCCCCATGATCACATGCCATTTGAAAAAGTAGATACACCTTTTTGTTATACCTTTGGTTATGTCCACTAATTTTCAGTATCCACGAAGTCACAAACACTGGACAAATTTAGCTTTAAAACTAGTTTGTTAAAAATGCAAAAAAACAAATTTGACTGCTAATCCATATGCAATACATTGTGTTGTCTACTTTTGCAAATGGTATTCCACGGTACTGTTATACTCGGGAGACTTCGCTGCACACACTTTCAAAATAGTAAAACCTATTACAACGATTATATCAAGAGTAAAAAAGTGCTATTTGTGTGTAAAAACAATGCAAAAAAAATTTCATTTCATGGCTGATATAATCATTGTGATATGTTTTACTGTTTTGAAAAACTAATACTTGTATTCAGCGAAGTCTCTGAAAGTTACAGGGTTAAATATAAGGCTTGCAAATGTAATTCTCTGGACTTTGTTCATGGTTTGTCAGGCACGTCTCTCAAATTGTAATTAATAAAAATAACATTATGTAAAAATATTGTGTGTGTATATATATGTTCAGGGAAGTTAGCTAAGTAAGTGTGGATTGTATTAGCTAAATTCGGTTGTGGTGTACCGATTCTCAAGGTATGGGCAGGCCTGTAAATAAAGAGGGCCCACCAAGGTAGTATTGTATAGATGTGAAGGAGTGGTGGGTGGGGTGACCAAATCGTCGTCGGCATGGTTTGGAAGTAAGTTTATATAGGCTGGATCATCCCTTCCCACAACTCCAGGCTCCTCCTTCCCATTTGTGGTCAAGGAAATTATCAGAGTAAGCACAGATTGTATTAGCTAAATTCGGTTGTGGTGTGCCGAAACCGAATGTACGGACAGGCCTGTAAATAAAGAGGGCAAAAAGTATGGACAAACTACTTAAATACGGAACAGAAAAAGTTCCATATGAGAGTATGAGCATACGTATCACTTAGTTAAATCAATAAAGACTTTCCTCATTTCTTGCTTTGGTTGAAAAATGTATCGGTTGAAAGCGGTTGATTTGAATGCTGACGGGTCATACCTCATTTTTGAAAACAGAGTTCTTATGTATACCATGAATTTGGGTTTGGTTAGCGGGTTGCCGTGTAGATTTAGTAGCGACCTCTTATCTTGTATCTTTATGCGTGGATAAAGCTAGTCAAATAATTGTACAGGGCACCATTTGTAACCTGTGGGGTATATTGGTATTTCGTCAGGAGGTTCAGTTTGATTGGTTTTGGAGTGTCATAGTGTCAAAACATCTCCAGTTTTGTCGAGGTCTGCCATGGTAAGCATGTTGGTGGTATGAGAGGTTTGGATAGTGGTGAACTCGTTTGGTCTTAAGAACACATAGAAGGCTAGATAAATAGCCATTTTTTTATGTATTGTTTGTTTCGTTTTCAAACGGCAGTGTATCCAATGTATCGGATCATGCCCGAAACTTGTTTGCGTCTATTGGTTGGCGTTTAGTGGGTTTTTGTGCTTCGAGTCGTAAGATGCATTTAAAAAGTTTCTAATCGGATTAGTGGACATGAAAGTACTGTGACTGGGATATGTGTTTGTGAGGTATAATTTTATGGCATTATGCACTAGTTTTAGATGTATGTGGCAAAAAGAAATAAATGCCACCATGGTGTCTAACGACCACAGGTTACTGATTTTTGTACTCTGTGATGAACGTGTTGAAAATGGTAAGGGCTCGGTTATATGAATGCATGGTGTTTGCAGAGAGTGTTGATTGCGCTAGCATTCTTCCGTGCGACATGAGTGCATTTAGTTCAGGATGAGGTGCTGGAACAGCGGAGGGTTATGACGAACACCTGGAAGTTAGAGTGAGACAGGGCATCAACTGTGGTGTTGTGGTGTCCCAGTATGTGCTCGCATGTGAGGTGAAAGTGTAGAGTGGCTGCCAACCATACTATTCTCCTGATTAACCTCATTATGATCAAAGTGGAAGATCTGTCTTTGATAATATCGCATGTGGCTGTGTTGTCAGTGTAGCATTTGATGGTTTGTTCCTTCCATAGGTGTCCCCAGACTTTAGCAGCAGCCACTATACGGTATACATCAAACAGGGTGGAAGTGGTATTAAACAAGGGTAATGAAGCTGTCTCGACATGCCATGCACTTCTTAACCACCTGTCGCCAGAAAAAAGCTGTATCTCGAGTGGGCTGCTGCGTCAGTCCACAACACTAGGGAAAACTCTGTCCATGGTGGAATGAACATATTTATACCATTCCATTGAGACAAGAATTGTCTCCACATTGATAAGTCTGACCTAGCATGTTGGTCAAGAGTGACTGTGCTGAGGTCATTGGGTAATTTGGGTAACAGGCTGCGTAGCCTAGAAATGAACGACCGTCCTTGTGGAATAATTCTCATCGCAAAGTTCAGAGAACCAAGTAGACTGTAGGTTTTTCTGGTTGGTAGTACCTCTGTTGAGAAACAGGTCTATCTCTGTCCTGATCCTCTGAACCTTGTCTGCGGGGAGACTAGCCTGCATAGTGACAGTATAGGCATATGCCGAAAAATGACAATCTAGAGACGGCCCCACTGTTTTGTCCAAGGCAACCGGTACTCCAAGTGTTGCAAATAGTGCCACCGTTTTTGTAATGCTTAGTGTGACAGAATCATGTTTTTCTACTGTCAGAAAGTCATCTAGATAGTGCATAACCACTGGACAACATAGTGTCTCAGCGCATAAATCGAATAACTTTGGGCTGCTTTTTGCTCCAAAAGTTAGTCGAACGGCAAAAGTCTTTAGATTTTACTCCATGTAGATGCCACAGTGACTGGCGTATTGGGAGCAGCTTGAAGGCATTGTAAATGTCTGCTTTCCCTGCCTCCAATATCACCTGTATAGCGTTGTCTACTGTGGAATACTGCAGGGAGAATTCGTCTGACAGTATGAGTGCGTTGAGGCTAGGTGTGACAACAGAATGAGGAGCCGATAGGTCTATGATCAAGCATTTTTTATTGTTGTACTTCCTTGTGGTGATACCTATTGGATTGGTACGCCAGCAGGTGAATGGGGGCCATATGAAATGGCCCGATCATGAAGCCTTTCTATGCTTCATGGTGAATGCGTGTATCCACTGTGGTGGGGTCTAAAGTTGTAGCATGTAGGTTTACATTCCAGCGTACCTATGGGGAGTGCAATTAGCCCAGTGTGGAACCCTTCAGAGAAGCCCGTGATAAGGAAATTGACTAGGTGTGGGGATGGGTGAGTGACGAGGTAAAAGGCTAGTGTATCAACCTGTACCTCCATTAGTAATTTTTTTTGGGAAACAGACGATTAGGGCACATTGTTTTAGTGTGGGCTCTAAAGCAGATGGCACAGACATGCAACAACCTGCAGCCACTGAAACTGCAACTGCCCGCGTTGAAGTTGTATAGCCCCCCCCAGTGTCAATGCAGCCTTTCCCCCAATCATGAGACGAGGCTCGATGTTGAGGGTCAAAACAGGAACAGACAGAGCTGTAGTTTGATTGTTTCTTATACACATTTCAACTCAATGTTACCACCCACATGGTTTTGTAGAACAGCCAATCAAACACGTATAATACCATTAAACACTCCCATTCATTCCAGCAAAATCATCCCCTCTGCATGTGATAGAATTACTGTATACAATGGGCTAATGTAATTCTCACAGGCAGGAAAATATAGTTTTACACAATATTCATAACTTCAAAAGTACACATCACGTTCACATAAAACTTACATATTCTGAACCAGCATACGCAGTATAAAAACATGTCAAAATCATACAGATTGGTCCAGTGGTTCAAAAGTTAGATGGAAGTCCTTTTTGACCAACTTCAAGCATGGCTTTCCTGCCCCAAACCAGTTCCACAGAGTTAGGCTGTGCAGCCGGTCTATCTTCTCCTCTATCCTGGAGATAATTGGCTTAACTTGGTGTGGTAAGCCAACTATCTCCAGGTACAGAAAATATCTCCATTCACAACAGCAGCAAAAATATATAATTCCCATTACACTGAACAGAACCCCCACATTCAACCTATCCTCAGATAGCTTGGATCTGGGCACTCAATATATCCAAACAGTGCTCAGATCCCACGAACAGAATAAAATTGCCATGGGGTTAAAGTTTAGCAGCCAGTTTCATTTAAAGGGCCAGAACAGTCTTTTAAACACCAATATGACCAAATAGTGTTTTTTTAAATGGCAATACTTCCCATGAGCCATAGTCATGAGGCAGGAGGCTGGCAGTAAGGCTTCTCCATAAGCCTGGGGAACAGTGACAAAAAAAACAGTGACAAAAGGCCTTTTGTCACAATAAATCTCATATCTATATCCATCTTGATAAAGACCCAGGAGGGTCCAAACATTGATCATTCGTTAAATACACTTTTGAAAAATTCCTAAGGAGTGCTTCGTTTATTTGGTATTTTATTCTGGCGCTGGAAGCACCCAGGTATTATTTAATTTATTCTCACTCATTGATGGTGAGTGCCAGAGCAGAGGTTGAAAAAAAAAAAAAAAAAAAAATATATACACTAAGTACTTTTTATTTATTGTTTATAGTTTTTTTTATAACTTTTTTAGCTAGTTTGTTTTTTAGTTTTCACCCTGCAGGCACTGAGGATCCCGATCCCGCGACCACATGGCCTAGGAGGGCTGGGTTGTGGGTAGACTGCCTGGGCTCCCACTCTAGTTAGGGATCGGCGGGAACCAGGTGAGTACAAAGGACTGCAGCGTTCAGTACCACCCACAGCACGACGGCATAGAACGCCCGCTATCCTTCCAGGTTTAATGAGAATCCTATAATTTGGTGTATTCCCTGGCACAAATTGAAATCCTGTTCTGTGGCTTCCATAGGTCCCTCCGCTGCCATTTTTGCAAGCTGTTTTGTTTTAATATATTCCCCTCACCATATATATATATATATATATATATATATATATATATATATATATATTACACAAACACACACACACACACACACACACCCACCCTCCCTAAAAATCAGTGGAATGTTCCATTTTAATGTTTCTAAGCTATGCTAATGTTTCCTTCTTGTTTAAGAGTGTATTGATTATCACTGGGTTTTCTTTTCTTGCCACTGGTTGTAAAAAGTGAAGTCTGTAATATAGAGCAAGTTGTACTGGTTTACGTTTTGTTAGACAAAAAAAAAGTGTGTGTGTGTATATATATATATATATATATATTAATCTAACCATGAACATCTAACACTTGTTTTATTGCTTTATGCCAAGAATTTCATTTTGGAGAGAGCAGAACCTTTCTGCACTAGTGTTTATTTTTTTACTGGTATTTATAAAGTGCTGAAATATTCTGCAGCACTGTACAACTGGTGAAAATAAACCGTACTATATACACAGATAAATTAAAAAGTTATAGGGATACTATAGGCACCCAGATCCATAGCTGCCAGCAGAGAAATTTTGGGGCCCCTGATGCAGCTCAAGGTTTGGGCCCCT